TCCCGACAGTCTCCCAAGGACTGGCTCTTCATCCCGAGTCGTTTTTGGACGGTCCCGGGGCCCTGCGAGGATTCCTGGGGCCGAAAGCAGCGAAACACCTCCTCTCATCCAGATTTTTGTTGTTCTACGACGCGAGCACGTCTGGGGACGCACCCGCGTTCGTGCCCCCCGCCCACGGACGCCCCGCCGTGCCCGTGGTCGCGTGCCCCTCCCCGTGGCGCAAGCGCCGCGACGAGGCCTGGCCGTTGGAGACGGGCAGGGGGGCGGCGCCCCGGAAGTTGGGGTTCACGTAGACGCCGATCTGCGGGGGGCGGGGCCCCTCTGGGAGGCGCGATGGGGGGAATGCATGGGGGCGGGGAGGAGGAGGAGGAGGAGGAGGAGGAGGAGGAGGAGGAGGAGGAGGAGGAGGAGGAGGAGGAGGAGGACAACAAGACAGGATAACTTGCGAGCCATCAGTTCGATATCTTGATGGATGCGCAGCAGCAGCCGGGCGTGAATTGCTAGTTGCACTCACCGGCGTCGCTCCTGGCCTTGAGATTGTGGGCGCGCGAGCACAGTCCCACAGGAGGAGAAGGAGGAAGAGGAGGAGGTGGGGGGGGAGGGAAGGATAAGGGAGGAGGAGGGACGACGAGAGAGGGGAGGTGAAGGAGGCCGCACACCTCGCCCTCCTCCTCCTCCTCCTTTTCCTCCTCCTCCTCCTCATCGTCATCCTTATACTCATCCTCATCCTTATCATCATCGTCGTCGTCGTCATCATCATCATCATCATCACCATCACCATCACCATCACCATCACCATCACCATCATCATCATCATCATCATCATCATCATCATCATCATCATCATCATCATCATCATCATCATCATCATCATCATCATCATCATCATCATCACTCATCATCACTCATCATCATCATCATCATCATCAACAACAACATCATCATCATCATCATCATCATCATCATCATCATCATCATCATCATCATCATCATCATCATCATCATCATCATCATCATCATCATCATCATCCCGCTGCTGCTCTCCTGCAACTTCTCCTCACATCTGCTTATTTCCCCTCCCCCGTTGCTTCCTCCTCTTCGCCTCCCGCCTCCTCCTCCTCCACCTCCTCCTCCTGCTCCTTCTGGACGGCTTGCATTCTCGTGTGTCTCTAGAGGTCACCAAGGCCTTCAAACCGGCAGGGGTGCGCGCCGCGCGTCCACACCTCGTGCACCTATACGTTTGCTCGTCAGCACTGTAAAACAACACGTGGCTGGTGAGGGACACCTTGGGCGGGGCAGGGGGAACAAGGTAGCGAAGGGGAACCCCGGGGTCGAGCACAGTCCAACTGCGAGCTTCAAGCATTCCCTGCGCGGCCCAGGCCATGTATATGACCGTGCTTTTGTGATGGGCCAGCTCGCCCGCCACCGCTTGACAGAAGCCTTCTGAGAATGTGTGAGAGCGCGCCCCGAGCTTCGCGAGAGAATCGGCCCAGACGTTCCCCGCCCACGTTTTGACACACAACCCCCTCGACAGAACGTCGTCGAAGCTCAAGTGGGCGGGGCGCCATCGGAACCGCGGGGGCTTGTCCACAGGAGTCCTGAAAACCGACTTCCATATAGCAGCATGTCTCGCCGTGCCTCTAGCCAACTCGGGGTCCCAGGAGTTCCCTTCGCGCACGACAGCCTGCACATCATAAGCCAAGGTCTCATGGCCAGGGTAGTGGGCGACGGCTTGCCTGACCGCCCAACGCTCAGCCCTGCCAATCGTTTGCCTAGCTCCTGGGGGGGGGCCTATAGATGGCACGGCATGGCAACAAACAATCGGATGTCTCTAGCATCTGAACAACCGCCCAGCCAGCTCTGGCCACTTCTGGCAGGCTGGACTGGTAGCAGCACCCATCTAGGAATGACTCAGGTCCCCAAGCACCTCTGCTGCCAAACACCTTTGGGGGGCTCTGGGGGGCCTGAATGGGGACACTTAAAGTCAGGGCCCCATAGGTGATGTAGTGCCTATCTACATCGGGATTGCCACACACATCTAAGCAGGACTGGGTCAGGGCTCGCCTGTGGTCTGCAAGCTTCTCGGGGACCTCGTCGCCCATGGGGCCCAGGCCATGGTCGTTAATGAAGGCGGGGCAACCATGCCACACGTGTCCATGCGCACCATTGGCCCCGGGGCACATCAGGCAATTGGGGGAGACCCTGTACTTCATAAGGCTGAGCTCGTAGGGCAAGGGGGCGACGTTGGACAACGCAGCTGCCGGGGCTCCTCTCTGGCGGGGGCACTTGACAGCCTGCGCAACCTGCCGGGGCGCGCGATGCCACGTTGGATGGGTCGACGGGCCAGCCGTGCTCATGTGATCATCGTCCAACCTATACGTAGCAAACTTAATCATGCCGCAGACATAGGACCCCGAGGCTGCTGCCAAGTAGGATCGTCTATCGTCGTGTCCCTCAATGCCGACCAAGCTCTCTGAGCGCGCGCCAGCGGAACCGATCGTCCCATATGAAACATGAGTATTTGACCAGTACCGCCAGTGTACAATCGTAGATCGGGTCGCACAGCGGATTGGACTGCGTCAGCAGGTATGCAGTAAACCCTTCCGCTTTCTTTAGCTCTAGCGATGGTGGCAGCAAAACGGCGAAGGTATCGCAGGCTGGTGTCGGACACACCTTAGACTGAGGCACTGCGGCCCGCTGCTGGCAAGGCTCCTACGCGCCGCAGAGACGCCGCCCGTTTGCCCGTCGCGTTGCTTTGCGCCATGCACTTCCTCTTCCGCGCTGCCAGAGCACGGACTCGTTTTTCTCTCTCGGGCACGCATCCCTCGCCCTGCGGCCAACTCATGTCCGAGATTGCGCATCCAGGGTTTGGCTGGGGGCCCCAGCTGACCAGCTGCACGTCGAGACCACTGTCCGGGCAACCCTTTCCGCCAGCTATCAAGCCCGATGTTCTGGCCTGCGTCCACGGGCCTTGCGCCCTCGAATCAGGAATGATAGATAGCCTTCGCTGCTTTGACGAGCTGGTCGATATTATTCGATATTCTTCGATATTCCTGATATTCTTCGATATTCTTCGAATTTCCCCAAATTAACTGAATTAAAACATCATATATTAGGGCCCTCGGGGCGACGCAGGGGGCGACGGCGTCGGGCCTCTTCAGGGCTCTGAATTTCAACGACAACAGAACTCCCGTCGCACGGTTGCACCCAGCAAAGACACCTTGACGCGCACACAGGTGTCGAGACAAGCTCCCGAAAGCGCGCAGGCGCCGAGGCTGCCCGCGCAAATCCACTAGCACCCACGCAAGTCGCATCGGGAAACCAAGCGCGTCTGCATCGACCAAAACCTGCGCAGATCGAATCGCTCCGAAACATATGATCAGATCTAGCAGCGCTGAATTCGAGATGTCACCGACCAGTTTGGCCATTTCGGCAGCGAGGTTGTGAGCGACAGCACTGTCAGAGGAGCTGCGCCGACGCCGCGTGCCCGAAACTTCCAGACAGTTGCGCCGGTCTTGCCATTCAAACGTGAGGGGCTTGCGGACCTTGCCCCATGTTCTGCAAAGAGTGGAGATGAGAGCAATGAGTATAGTGCCTCCTTCGGGCTTGGCCAGGCGCGCAAGCTCGTCGCACACTCTGTCGGCTGGCCAAGTCAGAAAATGCTCGCATAACATGAAAAGGCGAGCGATGGCGGCAATAGCGAGATCGGGCGAATGAATCAGCGCGCGGGGATGGAGGCCACTGGGCCCAGTCACCGCGCGCACAGAATTCGCCGGCCCAACGGGCCAGGGCGTGCTAAGATCTCCGGTAACTGGTTAACAGTATTAACAGTATTTCTAGTTCGCGCGCGCGGGGCGGCCCCTGGGGGCCCCCCGGCGAAAAGTACCCCGACCAGCGCCCGACCGCCGCCCGACCGCCGCCCGACCGCCGCCCGACCACCGCCCGACCATGTCTACTCAGAGATGGTTTTCCTTCTGGGTGCGGCCTCTCAGGCTCCCCAGAGCGCGCTCAGAGTGCCCCAAGAGGCCCCCAAGACTGCCCAAGAGGCCCCCGAGACGCCCAAAGAGCGCTCGAAGACGCCGAAGATGACCCCAAGACGGCCCAAAAGGCCCCCAAGACAGCCCAAGAGGCCTCCAAGACGCCCCAAGAGCCTTCCAAGAGGCCTCCGAAGAGAGCCCCAAGAGGCCAAAATCGTTGATTTTCATTGGTTTTTTCGATGTTTTTTGTGTTCTGGCTTTTTCGGCTTCCGGACGCTCCAAGACGGCCCAAGAGGCCCCCAAGACCGCTCCAAGACGGCCCACGAGGCTCCCAAGACGGCCCGGAAACGGCCCAGGAGGGCCCCTCAAGACGGCCCAAGTGCCGCCCAAGACGGACCAAGAGGCCCCAAGACGGGCCCAAGAGGGGCTCAAGAGGGGAACCGAGAACTGAAAAATCGAGCCCTCCGCCCCAGAAGGCGCCCAGGAGGCCCCAAAAAGGCCCCAAGAGGCCCCCAAGAGGCCCCCAAGACGCCCCAAGAGGCGCCCAAGAGGCCCAAAAGAGGCCCCAAGAGGCCCCAAAACGGCCCCCAAAACTCGGCTAGCCCACAACGGTGCGACAATATGGGCCGGCGGAATGAGCGAAGCGATTAAATAACTCAAGACTGCGTCCTGCACCATGCCTGAAGTGATGGTGGGCAGCTCTGGCCAGGCGCCCGACCCAAGAGGGGTCTTGAGCTTGGGGCTGTCGTGCGTGGCCCACGCGTCAGCCCAAGGTTTGAGCCCATCGCCTGCAAGCTGACGCGGTGCAACTCGCGCCGTGGACGAAGCGATCTCGCGGGCGCCCCCCACCTCCGAATATCGGTCCTGGCGCATCGGCCATCGACGGCTGGCCGCGGCTGGTGAAAGACGGCGCTGTGCTCGAAGCAGTCGCGGGAACTGAAATGTCCTTGGCCATTGCTGTCCTCGCAGCGCCCGTGCCTCCTTCAACAGGCAAGAGAGTCGACGCCGTCGACCCTCCAGAATCAGGCTCGCGCCTCGCTGCTGAGACGAGAGGAGGCACGGGGGCACCCGCGGGGCCACCAGCTCTTCCCTCAGCAGGCAAGAGGGCCGACGCCATCGGCCCTCCAGAATCAGGCTCACGCCTCGCTGCTGAGGGGGAGATGGGCACTGGGGCGGTCGACGCAAGCGCGCCAGTGCCCCCCTCAGCAGGCAAGAGGGTCGACACCATCGACCCTCCAGAATCAGGCTCACGCCTCGCTGCTGGCACGGAATTGGCGCTGGCGCTGTCGGCCGCATCAACCTAGTCCTGAGCCTCTTGGCCGCG